TAGTGAAGAAAATCAAGAAATCCAAGAAAATGAAGAAAATGAAGAATCTGGCGAAATTGAAGCAGAACCTGAAGAAACCATAGATCTTATCTTGGATGAAGACTTTGATGATGATGAGTCGCCAGATTTGAGTTCTTTGGAAGCAGATTTTGGTCAATTTTTGGATGTGTGAGCAGAGATATTGATGGAGAAGACTGAGGAATTTACAGGTATAGAAGAAGAGAATGGTGAAATGCTTTCTTCAGAAATTGGTAATATTATTCATCCAGCAGTAGATGATAATGCTAAGTGGGATTTAAATATACTTTTCAATGAATTACAATTACCTTAATTTTTCATTTTATCATAATAAAAATCAGAATAATATAAAAGTGAAAAAATCGTAGCAGCACATACCCTCTAGCCGATGTGCTAAACCAAGCACGTTCGGAATGTTATCATTACATATACGTATGTTGCGCACTAATTTTAATAACCAAATAAGTTCAGTTATCCCAAAAAGTAACGTCCAATTTGGATGTATAACATCAACATAAATTTAAATATGGCATTTTCCCTCTTTTTGTTATTGTTGACTGTGCTGATGTCTGAATATTATATTTCACATTGAATTTTAGGTAGGTGTATGTTAAAATGTTTCCTTTGTTAATTTCTAAATCTAATCGGTTTTTTTATTATTATTAAGAGTGTCTTTACCAAGATCAATTACTGTCATCGATCTTCTAAACAATGCCTTTCTGAATCAAGATCCTAATCATACTGTTCGTTAATTCAATCAATTGTTATGAGGGAATTTTAGCGTCCATTTTGCTGTTGATTTTTCGGAGTTCACCAACTGAGTTGGCAGTTAGGCAAATCATAATAGAATCACCACCAAATTTTACGGTTGAAGTAATATGGTGATCTTTTAATTGTTCACCAGGCTTTTTCCAGCACCATTTTCATCTGTCTGATTCAAATAATTGGAACTTGCTTTCATCAGACCAAATTATTTTCCACCAGTCGTCGGCTGTCCAAGTTCAGTGTTTTTTTTGTCTATTCTAATCAGAGTTTTTTGTGTTTTTTTAAACAATGACTTTTTTCGCTTAATTCTTGCAAATAAACCATTTCTTCTAAACATACGTCGTATGCTTTCCATTGAAATTTTGACTCCCAGTTCACGTTGAACTTGGACGGTAGTAGTGCATTTTCCAAATGATATTAATCGGATGGCATTTCGTTCGTAACGATCCAAAAGAATGTGTGGATGACCGGGTTTTGGTTTATCTTCGAAGTTTCTGGTTTCTTCTTTCTTTTTGTAGATGCGTTGGACCGAAGCTGAGCCCACCCATTCTGATAATGCGATTTCCCAGACTGAATATCCTTGTCGGAGAGTGTATATTCGGGAGCGCTTTTCTAGTGGAATGCGAGGTATTTTGAAATAAAAATGGTTAGAATTATTGTTTAGAATAGCGAAAGTGTTCTATAAATATTGTAGTGGAAAGAGTGCTTTTATACTCATCTTTATAGACCTGAACTCTTTGTCTAAATCGGTCATATTACACATTACACAGAACGCTAAAAAAATCATTAGCTTGTAAAGTAAAAGATAGATGAAAATAAAAAGTTTCATTAAATGATTGTGATTATTTTAATGAATAAAATCTACTTAGCTTAGTCTCTGATAATTCCTCGAATCTCACCATTTTTTTCTGTGTTTCTAGGGATAGGAATCGATTCTCAACCCAGGATCGATTCTCGAGCACAAATTATAACGTTAACGACTACAACGACAGCAATAACGATGATGATGACATAACTGGTTTTTGGTTTTGTTTTTCATTGCATGTTGATTTTTTCCTTTTCGTTGGAATAGTTAAAGTTGTACATTAATTAGTTGAAATTATACTTTAATTAGTTGAATTCGTAGAGATACTTGGTGGTATATATAGAGGCAATTGAAGTATTGTCATCAGATCAGATTCTGTATCATGTATTTTCTGTTGTTTCAAATTTGGATCAATATCAGTTACTTTTGGCATTAGTATCACAGTTGTTAAACTCTATATTGGCAATATTAACATTTTTGTTGAATGACAGAATAGTTTGTCGTGCGTTGTAACATTTGCATGTTTTTCACAAGTGAAAATCAATTACGTATTTACGTGATTGTGCATTATTGTTATCATTATTAATAATCGATTCTTAAATTTTAATCGATTCTATATATATATATACAAAATTAATCGATTCTCAGAATCGATTCTAAATTAATCGATTCTAGAGAATCGATTCCTATATATCCCATTTTTTTAGTGAGTCACAGCCCAAACTGATCCTACTAAAATTAAGAGGATCGTTAAAATAGTGTTACGAGTGTAACAAATAATTACATGTCCGGATGTCCGCCCAATCTTCAGACATGGATGCGGACGGTCCGGTCCGGTCTGAGTGACAACACTGAACATCGGGTAACATCGGAGGGTGCAGTTCTGTGCAGATCTTTGGATCCGAAGTTTTTCAAAGATCTTTGAACCTGGCAGCGATCTGTGAAGAAAAAAAAATAAAAATTTCTGCGCAGATTTGCAATAATACACAGGTCTGCGCAGA